TCTTTCTCTCTTTCTCTCTTTCTCTCTTTCTCTCTTTCTCTCGTTCTCTCTTTCTCTCTTTCTCTCTTTCTCTCTTTCTCTCTTTCTCTCTTTCTCTCTTTCTCTCTTTCTCTCTTTCTCTCTTTCTCTCTTTCTCTCTTTCTCTCTTTCTCTCTTTCTCTCTTTCTCTCTTTCTCTCTTTCTCTCTTTCTCTCTTTCTCTCTCTCTTTCTCTCTTTCTCTCTCTCTTTCTCTCTTTCTCTCTTTCTCTCTTTCTCTCTTTCTCTCTTTCTCTCTTTCTCTCTTTCTCTCTTTCTCTCTTTCTCTCTTTTTCTCTTTTTCTCTTTCTCTCTTTCTCTCTTTCTCTCTTTTTCTCTTTCTCTCTTTCTCTCTTTTTCTCTTTTTCTCTTTTTCTCTTTCTCTCTTTCTCTCTTTTTCTCTTTTTCTCTCTCTTTCTCTTTCTCTTTCTCTTTTCTCTCTTTCTCTTTCCTTTTTTTTTTTTCCCTTTTTTTCCCCAAGGGCAGAGTACAGAATATTTGATAGAGTCCTAACCTCAACATATGAGGAAAGGGATTTAGGGGTGATTATTTCTGATGACTTAAAGGTAGGCAGACAATGTAATAGAGCAGCAGGAAATGCTAGCAGAATGCTTGGTTGTATAGGGAGAGGTATTAGCAGTAGAAAGAGGGAAGTGCTCATGCCATTGTACAGAACACTGGTGAGACCTCACTTGGAGTATTGTACGCAGTACTGGAGACCGTATCTCCAGAAGAATATTGATACTTTAGAGAGAGTTCAGGGAAGGGCTACTAAACTGGTTCATGGATTGCAGGTTAAAACTTACAAGGAAAGGTTAAAGGATCTTAACATGTATAGCTTGGAGGAAAGACGAGACAGGGGGATATGATAGAAACATTTAAATACATAAAGGGACTCAACACAGTAAAGGAGGAGACTATATTTAAAAGAAGAAACTGCCACAACAAGAGGACATAGTCTTAAATTAGAGGGGCAAAGGTTTAAAAATATCCAGAATAATTACTTTACTGAGAGGGTAGTGGATGCATGGAATAGCCTTCCAGCTGAAGTGGTAGAGGTTAACACAATGAAGGAGTTTAAGCATGTGTGGGCTGTGCATAAGGCTATCTTGACTATAAGATAAGGCCAGGGACCAATAAAGGTATTTAGAAAATTGGGCAGATTAGATGGGCCGAATGGTTCTTATGTGCCGTCACATTCTATAGTAATTGCTTTACAGTAAAGAAAAATCAACTACAATGCAATTATCTTTTTCTTTTATATTTAAAATTCAGACCTTACATCTGAATAAATACAGGCAGACATGTCTATGGTTTTCACACTTTCAAGGAGCTAGAATAGGGTGGACCTGGACCCTCCAAGCCTGTGCTAGGTCTATGGAAGTTAGTCGAACAGTACAGTGGGTCCATGAGATCCATAGACTCTCAGTTTCTCAATCTTTCCCTCGTGTAGAGTTTCCAAATTCAAAGGGTGCTATAGACTAGGTCCCTCTAAAATTCAAGCAAAGGTGGCGTTCACCATTGAAAAAAAATATATAAATACATCAGCAGTGTGGCAATCTCAGTCAACTAATGGGTCACATAACGACCTCCTGGCCCAACCCTCACATGATCAGGCTGGTCCTTCTGAAACCTGTAGAATTGTATCTACAGTGGAAAAATATATGCCCACTATGCAGTGAAGATAAGCAGAGGGAGAACAGGTGTAGACCGTAGCCTCATCTTCCCACAGTATTGCCCATGGTGACACTTGTCAGGAAAATGTAATAATTTTATAAAGTTGTAAGTCCATTCAAACAGTTAAAATTTCATTGATCAGTGTAGTCTGTATGTCCACCATGCAGAGGGCTAGCACATAAAGATTAGATTGGACAAATTGTCCTAGTGTCAAATGTTTCTTGAGGATAGAAGTGGTAATATTCTGATTGCCAGACTGTTCAAGACCTACTGCACTGAAAATAAGCATGAACATTAGCTTGATTAAAGAGCAGAATCAGTTAGATTTAACCTCTCATAGCCAGTGCTGTGTAAGATGGTGGTCAGGCTGGGCACCCAGTAAAGTAGGTCTGATTTGGATGACTTCCAGCTTTGTGGTTGAAGCTGATATGTGTTGAGGTTTGTGGAACGAGAACTTATTTAAAACCAGGAGAGGGCATGAATGGGAATATATATATATATATATATATATATATATATATATATATATATATATATATATATATATATATATATATATATATATATATATATATATATATTATATAAAAAAAATTTTTTCCATATGTTTGTTTTTGTAAATCCCTTTTTAAAGCTAAAGTTAGTGCATTATACAGATTTTTTATAAACATTATCCATGCAATTGGAGAAAATGTACTGTAATGGTCAAGCAGCGACTGATGCTCCTATAGGACTCTTACACTGATCCTGTCCTGTTGATCCATTCTCTTTCTAGAATTGTACGCAATGGATTGACTGACAGACAAGGCCCGGAACTGTATTTTTCGTTACGTTTTTTGTTTTTTAAACATTCAAAGGTTTCCTGCAAATGTTGGTGGCACAGGTTGGTAGGTGAGGACAGAATGTTCTGCCCTTCTATCAGGACATAATTTGGTGTCCTATGGCAACTTCACTTTAAAGGACCACTATAGTGCCAGGGAAACATACTCTTTTTTTCCTGGCACTATAGTGCCCTGAGGGGGCCCCCTCCCGCCGGGCTCTAAGGGGAGGAAGGGGTTAAACTTACCTCTTACCTCTTTCTCCAGCGCCGGGCGGGGAGCTCTCCTCCACCTCTTCGGCTGAATGCTCATGCGTGGCAGGAGCCGCGCGCACATTCACAATGCTTTCCTATGGACGCTGGCGGAAGCCCTCTAGCAACTGTCAATGAGACAGCCACTAGAGGCTGGATTAACCTTTTCTCTGAAACTGCTATGTTTATAGAAAAAAGGGTTAAACCTAGCTGGACCAGGCACCCAGACCACCTCATTAAGCTGAAGTGGTCTGGGTGCCTATAGTGGTCCTTTAAGTAACATTAATATTGCACTTTAGCTTTAGTTTGAGGTTCAGGCAACTGTCAATAAGATTGTTGAACATGTGCATTAGCCCCTCCTCCCCCGCCAACATTATTTGCCTTTTGTTTTTTTTCTTTGAAAAGAGGCTTAGTGCAAAGACACCTGTGCCCCATAACATCAAATCGTATAAAATGCCAGAGTGCCCTATTTGCTTTTAAAATCATTCTAGGAAATGTGTCTATGGAGATGTTGTGAAGCTAGTGTCAATATAGGGTGGGTAATCGGGTGCTAAAAAGGCAGATTAATAATGTTTATACAAAACATTTCAGTGTCTCTTCCACTGCTAGAAGGTTCATCCACAGTACTTTGTAGGTCACCTGATGTTTTATGTTTCAGTTTAAGTCTCTATCTGTACTATCTCTGAGGGCCATACCATATGTTCTTGTTTTTGTTCTATCTCGAGCGTGTTTGTAAAAAAAAAAAAAAACCAAAAACTAAAACAAACCCCACTTTCCATGGGACGGAAAAAAAATATTGTTGCCTAGACCATTTGGTCAGTGGGTAAACTTACTTTACTTGGGTTGTTGAAAATTTATACATTTATTTAATGGTTTTGGTTTTGCTTGGATAACCATTTCTAAAGTGCTCCGAACTTGAACACACACGGCATTAAAAAAAAAAAAGAAAAAAAAAAAGTAAGTTTAACACTCTGAATACATGTATACTCATGTAACTAATTGGTGTACTTTGTGGATTTTTCAGAGCCAGTTGAGGATTTATTGTACTGTAGCACATACTAAATTTATGAAATTAACGGGAGAAAAAGTATTATTCACAATACATAAATATACTAGATACTTTTTAAAGAAACAGGTGGGGAAAAATGGCCCCTCAAAATAAGCCACTTAAGTTTATATTCGTATATATGATGTTTTGTAATTATAAAATATTTAGTAATATAAAATTAAAAAAACACACTTGAGCTAATGCTTCCTCATCATCCCATGCAACACACTGGGGGTGGGCTGATTGCGACATTGGTTAAGCACCAAACCATTTTAAAATGTTTTAACACTGAAATAGATGGTGTTTGGGAGATTCCAGATACTATAATCACTTCAATGAAATTATAAGTTTACAGTGCTTATAGTGTCCCTTAATTTATTGAGTTGCTAAAATGCCCCAAATTTAGACATGAGCAATGTTGAAATTCCAAGATTGAAAAATTAAATGGCTGTGTACCTAACACTTAATGACACCAAATCCTTGAAAATGTGATTTATGTACTCTGTAGATGCAGCCAAGTAACTTTTTATTTTTTTCTTCACTTTATCACAGCTCACCACAGGTTTACAAAATACTGCCCAAAAATTAGTTTATTGTGTATTTTGTTAATGAGAACAATACAAACACTATTGCTACAGAGATTGATGGCAAAGTGACCACATAAATAAACTGATGACTACTTCCTAGTAAATAGTGTGTATGTATATACACTGATATGCTGGAATCAAAAATGTCAAATTTGCTCTAGTTATTCAGAACAAGATAAATGTCACTTTGGTGTAAGGTACATGTGGTGTTAAAGAGAAGCTTCAGTTTGAACGTACCCCCTATCATTAGGGCACAGAGAAGCAAGAAAAAGGGTAGGTCAGTGATGCGGTCACATGACTGCTGCCCAATCCGAATAACTCACTGGTCAGCCTGGCGTGAATGTCATAGAAATTTAGAATGTTATTTTTAAGTTGCGTGTTCAACTTTCCTGTTCAGTTATTAAATACAGTGCTGATCTCTAGAACATGTATTTCTGGGATTGATTGAAAAAAATGAAAAACAAGCAAAATACTCATTTTCCATTATTGTATGCACTTTGGAACTCTTCACAGGTATGTAATTTTTTTTTTTCTATTAAAAATGTTGAAAGTTGTGTGTAGCGTTTTTTTTTTTTTCTCACAAGTCACAAAACCAGTGACCACTAGAGGGATGCAGAGAGATTTTAATACTTACATGTCATTTAATTTTGATAAAGCTTTCAAGTAATATTACCAAGCACAATACTGTTTTGGAAGTTGTGTGTGTGTGTGTGTGTGTGTGTGTGTCTCTCGATCTATCTAAATACACCTGCCAAGAATGGGGTACATTGATGTTGTGGCAGGTTTATGCAATGTATGACCATATACTGTAACTAAACCCCCATAATTTTTTGCCTAGTGAGGTGTTTTTTAATAAAACTATTACATTATGTGAGACGTGAGAATTGCTTTTCAGTGAACAATAACAAGTATGCATGTCTTTTAATTTGTGAAGTATTTTGTAGCTCGGTGAATAACCCTTATTGTGTGTCTCTGACCTAAATAGAATCTTGAAGTTAACCTGATATCCAACAGTTATGAATATAAGTTCACATTCAGGTATATACAAGGATGTGTGGCATTTGCATCGCCTTGTGCATATAGCTCCATAGGAAAGCACTTGCCACATATGTGCATAATGCTCCTCTACAAAGGGGCATGGGATTGGACCCCTGTAGACACGTGGGATGGGGGGGGGGGTTAATTAGGGTAATTGACACTAAAAATTTGTATTACTAGAACCTTATTATTCCTTTTTCACAAAGTGGTTTTGGTATATAGATCATGCCCTGCAGTATCACTGCTTAATTTGAAGTTATCATCTATTTTTATTTTTTTTATTTTTTTTTTCTGCTCCGTTAATTGAACTTTACTCAGACAATTAACCGAGCAGGAGATGCAAACTTCTAATGTAAACCCAAATATATAAAATAAATTTTTATTTTTTATTTTTTTTCCTCATGTAGGCTGCATGAGTTTTACAGCTAGTGGAGGTGTGGCATAGTATTGAGCAGTGAGACTGCAGGGGCATGTATACCATTGTACAACAAAACTTAATTAGCCCCTTCCTGATTGTGGACGTATCGGGTATGTCCAAAAAACGGTCCTTAAGGACTGCGCACGTACCCGATACGTCTGCGGCGAATTAGAGCACTGGCAGATATTATTATTATTATTATTATTATTATTATTATTATTATTATTATTATTATTATTATATTTTTTATTATTTATATAGCGCCTTCAGATTCCGTAGCGCTGTACAATGGGTGGACTAACAGACATGTAATTGTAACCAGACAACTGGACATACAGGAACAGAGAGGTGGAGGGTCCTGCTCAATGAGCTTACATTCTCGCTTCCAGCCGCTCTGATGGTATTGCAGTGATGCTTTGATGTCGAAGCATCCTGCAATCCTCCCCTCACTGCCGGGCCACCGGGCGATCGCTCCTCTGGAATGATCACTTCCGGGTTGCCCCAGGTGAGGCCGGCAGTGAGGCAGAGCATTGGAAGTCTTTAGGCAGGCTACCGTTGCTCTGCCGTGAAGATTTAAAAAAATTAATAAAAACAAAATTAACCCCAAAATTAATAAAACAAAATTTGACAGCCCAGACAGTCCCCCGCCCCCCTCTGGCAAATTAGGCCCCCCCAGGGCCATGTGATCGCTCTAAAAGAGTGGTCACTTGACTGCAATAGGTGTCCATAGTGCTGCCAGCAGGGGGAGTGCCTGAACTGACATGCAATACCCCTGCTGGTGAAAGAAAAAAAAAAAAAGTTTTAAAATAAATATAAATATATATTTTTTTAAAAATGTAAGTAAATTATATGATGAAAATAATGGTATCTTAACCCCTTAAGGACACGTGACATGTCATGATTCCCTTTTATTCCAGAAGTTTGGTCATTTAATGGGTTAAGAGACCATTTAATGGCAAGAAAATGGTATATAATATGTGTCGGTACAGTAAATGAGCAAGAGGAAAATTACAGCTAAACACAAACACCGCAGAAATGTAAAAACAGCTCTGGTCCTTAACAGTAAGAAAATTGAAAAGTGGTCTGGTCACTAAGGAGTTAAAGGAACACTATAGCGTTAGGAATACTGTTTGTATTCCTAAAGCTATAGTGTTGCCCTACCTATTTAGTTGGTCTGCCCCCCATATGAAAAATAAGTTTTGAAAGATAAGTTTTACTTGGCTTATATCCCGTGGTGTACTGGTCTCTGCATAATAGTCTTGATAATCTCAGCCAATCCAGGGCACTGCACCCAGATGACTTCATTGAAATGATGTGTCTGGATGTCCGTGGTGTCCCTTTTAAGCAACAGCTCTTTTGGTGCTTAGAATATACCTTTTAAATCTACTTGTGTGTTTTGTTTGTTACCTATTTAGCTTTACAACGATCTCTGCCTGTTGTTTGTATTCCATATAGAATCTGTTCATCACTTTTTTTTTTTTTCTCTCCTCATCCATAATGTAGTGGCTGTACTTGATATTATGCTAAATATCTCCTTCCCAACATCTAGGTGCATCATGTGCTTGGTACACTAATGTGCTTTTAGTATAAACTGCAAATTGTCATGTTATTTATGGTCACCAGATACTGTGTTTAACTCCTGTCCTGACTGGTTTTGCCAGCATAGAAAAAAGCAAATTAGCTTTGATATATGCAGTCTTGCAATGTAAATTAAGCTTTGCTTGCAGCATCCGTTATATTTGTTTTTACATGTGTTCGGTGTGACATATGGTCATTACTAAAGAGGCTCTGTTACCTACAGGGTTCAAAAATATGTGGGTTTTTTCCACAGTTTTGGCAATAAGTGTGTGCATAATATGTCCAGCTTACAAAAAGTAATTCAAAATAAATGCATTTATGTGTCTGAATTTATAGACTACATAATATGTGTAGGATTTCAGCCTATTTTTAAAGTTACAGGACATAAAATTTCAATGTGAAGCTATTTTACAAGTTGGTATGTTTGTCTTGTAGGTTTAGTAGCCATCACAGAAAACAAAATTGCCAGTGAAAAGTATATATTTATATAAAGTAGATATCACAGGCTATTTTAAGGTTATTTTGTCATTTTTAACGTAGCCACTTCATCGCCAATCTCTGCTAAATATTGGAGTAAAATTGTGGCGGGTGGGTTTTGTTTGTTTTTTCAGTATTTTGTCATATACACATATAACCAGATTTTTGTAATGTGTATTTTGTAAAGCTGGTGTGTGCTATTCCTGCACAGAACCCCATATTGTGTTCCGCTACATCTGCTGAGTAAAACAATTCCCCAGGCTGTCAGTGATCACAGCTGCAGGGACAGCGCAATCTGGGGTTACCTTTAGTAAATTACGGAAATCTTCTGTCAGGGGGCTTAAGGCAAGGACAAGCTTGACGGAAAATTTATGTCTTTGGGCGAGGACGAATTAAGCCAGTATAGTTTAATTGTTTTACAGATACATTGATAGGGTACCTGCTGTTAAGATGCTGTTATGAACTATATTCTTCCTGACTCTAAGGCAAAGACCTCTGACCTTCCTTTACAAGGTGTACACTGCTGTGCCTTGCTTTATTGCAGTGTATGCTTTTTGTTTGTCATAGCTTTTAAAAGTAAATTTTAATAAATAGGGGATACTGTCACATATGGATATGTGGAGTCAATCAGCCAACCATTTGTTTTCAGGACTACCCATATTCTTAAAGGTATACTATAGGCATCAAAATAACAGCTTAATGAAGCCATTTTTTTGCTGCATAGATCATGCCCTTTGTGATCCCACTCCTCAGTTCTCTGCCATTTAGGAGTTAAATCTCTCTTGTTTCTGTCTGCCACCCTAGTCAAAACTCCCCTGGCTGGGTTAACGTGCTTCAGAGATTTTTATACCCTGGTCTATAAATTGAACTTTAACCACACACAGAAGGATCCTGTGGGGTCATGAAGACTGTTAACAGTAGGAAAGAATAAATTCTAAATTAAACAGAATGTGAAGTAAAGGCAGTTTTAAACATTAATCTCTTTACAGGAAGTGTTTCGGAAGGCTTTGCAAGTCACATGCAGGGCGGTGGGTCTAGGACTGCATAAACAGGGATTTAACTCTTAAATGGCAGAGAATTGAGCAGGGAGACTTCAGTGGTATGAACTACACACCTAAACTGCTTTATTCAGCTTAACTTGTTTTGATGCCTATAGTATGCCCTTAAATGCTATTGTCCATGTTTCCTTAGAATACACAGGTACTTTAATGAAGTATAGTTTGCAAATTTATTTAATGTTGGCGTTTAAGAC